ACACACACTCTCACAGGGAGCCCCAACAGGACACACACACTCTCACAGGGAGCCCCAAAAGGACACACACACTCTCACAGGGAGCCCCAACAGGACATCACACTCTCACAGGGAGCCCCAACAGGACACACACACTCTCACCGGGAGCCCCGATATGACACACACACTCACAGGGAGCGCCGATATGACACACTCACAGTCCACCTAAAGGGGGTTCAGGCACGACAGGGGCAGGTCATCCCCTCACTCTTCACTTACTCACCCAGATGTCAAGCTGGGGGCCCTCGTACTGCTGCCCCTCAAACACCTCAGGGGCTGCGTAGGGGGGGCTCCCACACCATGTGGCCAGGGGCTCCCCTGGTTGGAAGAAATTTCCAAATCCGAAATCTGCAAGAAAAGAAAAGTTTTTTTTTACTTTCTCCTACAGGAGGGCACAGCGACCACCTGGGACGGCGGTACGGACGTACGCTTTCTGCTCACAGGGAACTGAAGTCTTTCCTTCCTCAACAACTGTGGTCTTTTAGAGGAAAAGCTGTTCTTTTCCGCTTCGCTGCAGAGGAATGAGATGGTCAACTGATCCACAGCAGGACACCGGCCTCAATGAGTGCGATTAACATTCATGAACCAGCCGACTGCAAGAGCAAAACCCAGGGCTAATTTTCCAAAACTCTTGTAAGTCCAAAACAAACAAAACACTGTTTCGCTCCTCCTCTGCAAGCGCCTGTCTGGCCTCTTGCTAGATGCGAGCCTGCAGAATCTTTAAAATCACAAGACTTTTGGAAGAGGCTGGGGGAAGGGGAAGGGGGTCGCACTGGCATGTCCCCATGGGGTACACAATACGAGGCTGCCCAGCAACTGCCCAGACAGAGGCCAAGGCAGGAGAAACCAGGGCCTGACAGGGACAGCAAGACCACGGAGAGCTGGGAGCTGCAGGGTGATATGGCTGCTGGCTGTGACACCTGTCCCTGCCTGCTCACCTAGTCTAGTACACTACACTCTCACAAACGTATAAGACGCACATTTGTTCTTAATTGTTTTTGTGTATGACTTCACGTGACTGCTAATGCTCCTGAGAGGGTTTTCTATTTGAGACCCAGAAGCAGCAAAG